GACCTGGCTTATCACATTAGCTCGTATAGGGCTGCTCGATTATGGCAAAAATCATAATCTCGATTATTTGAGTCAATAATTGATATCACGATTATTAAAAACGATTATCCATTTACTTTGAAAACATCCATTTATTGAAAAAAGAATGTGAACAGTATGTTTTTAACAGTTAATTACCCTGAACTTTAAGTATAATTCAACTGAAAAACCAATACAAAATAAATAAATAATCGTTTTATTTCGATTATGTTGTTTTCATAATCGTTGCAAGCCAAAATTCTAATTGCGATTAATTGAGCAGTCCTAAGCTCGTACTGCAGAAGTAAGAAACATGAGGTGTGGTAGTGCTTCACTAACTGATTATTTGAAGATATTACCCCCATCATAAAATGGTAAATGTTAGTCATGGTACAAAAGACAACTTCCCAGAAGACACTATTAATATATGTCATGTGACAAAACTTATTTTGCCGGTATGTGTTTGTCCACTCTCGGTAAGATTACTTTATTTCTGGTTTTACAGGTACGCAGACCTCCCACTTTTTTTGTATGTGTCATTTACCTTCATCTCGAACAATTTGTTCATGTAGAACGATTGTTGTGGTGCTATTGTGCATGTTTTTCAACTAAGATATGTTTAGGCTCCTAAACTGTACTGTATGGCATGTATTGTAAGGTGAAAACTGCACTTAACTTACAAAAGGAGTCTTTAACCTATTGGGAATTTGAAAAGAGATGGAATCTGAGAATCACTTTACACCCCTTTACATAAAGTGAAATGTATATTGTTACAGAAAAATATATGAAACACAACCTTTTTTTCTTTACTATAAGTGAGTTTAGTATGTTAGATAATAAAGTTTAGTATGTTAGATAATAAAGTGCAGCAGGGCTAAATGTACAAGTGAAACATTTTCTTTTTTCCAGAGAGTGATAAGATGCCAAAAAATGTAGAGTAAAGAACAAAGTGTCTGGGTCTTTTTCATATGCAGCTTTCCTGCTATGAAACCAAATAATTTGAATTACTGTCTTATACGAGAGTGTCTCAGGAAGTTTCTCAGCCAAACTGTTCAAGCCAGCACAGCTGATTAAAGCAGGATAAAGTAAGCTGCCCTCCAAAAAAATCAAAAAAATCTGCCCAACGACATTCTTAGCCCATGTTTTATGGTGGCTATACAATACCGTAGCTTGATTGTCATCTGACGTCCTCTGAATTGACTCTGGATGTGAAACAGTTATTTGTTATCAGAGATAAGCTGTTTTGCCACACATTTTAATTTTTAAAATGATGAAATATTAAAGTGATCATCCAATAATCTACCTTTAAATCAGTTTACTGTGCTTTCGTCTCCTTATTGGCAGATTATTTACAAGAGCAACAACTACATTTATAGACATTGTATGCGTGTGTAGGGGGCATGGAGAAGTCAACAAACTGATTTAAGCGGCACTGGATTACCTAAGCAACAATATGTGTATTTAACCACGATACAAAATACATATTTTTGTTATAATCATGGTTGCTATAAAACAGTATAAAGGGCCTGGTGTTAAAACAAAATGCAGATTAGGGATTTTACCTCAAAACTTAAAAGCAGAAGTGAAAACTAAGTAACAGTATTAAACAATGTTCCCTTTTTAGCTGCTTTGCTTAGCTTTATGTTTCTGGCCTTTCCTCGTTGAGTCATAGGCTCTGCATTCGATTTCAAACAAGTATCAACCTGGTATCAACAGACATAAAATACACTCTACATATGTTTGTCATTCAAACAAGGAATGAAAAGCTGTGAGGACAGGACAAAGGAGGAAGAGTATGCTGAAACACTCGTTACACTCAGCCTAACTCCAAAGGTGGAATAACTACTCACAAGATGTGAGTCACATCTTGTATAAGTAGAAATACCAAAATTGTAGGAATACTCTTTTACAAGTAAAATAACTGTATGCAAAATGTTACTCAAGTAAAAAGGTACACTAGTATTGGCAGAGCTTCATCATATCAGAATCATATAGGCTACTATGTTTTGGTTATAGGTAAGCATCGGGTTGAGAGGATTGGGTTGATGTATTGATATTTTTATCTAAGCTGATTAAAGTGAAACTATTTTATATTACTTTATTTAATGCTGGGTAGAATGTGAATTTAATCCAGGTGTGTCTAGTTTATCATGAATGTAGCTGCTAAATAAATAAAAGTACAAGTAGGCAACTATTTACCTCTGAACTGCAGTGGAGTAGAAGTACAAAGAAGCATAACATGGAAATAAATCAAGAAAAGTACAAGTAACTAAGAAGTGTACGTTAGGCTACTTGAGTAAATGTACTAAGTTACTTTACAGCACTGCCTAACTCCAAAGTAAAAATGCCCACAACAAGACACCATCTGCGTGTCCTGTAGAAACTACAAACAGATAACAACACATAGTGGTTTAACATTCTTCCTGTGTGCGGGAGATACATACGAACTAGGCTAACAATAAACACTTAAAACTAGCTTAACGATAGCCCCGTTGACTGCAAGAAAGTAGCAGTGACGCCTCGGAGTTCAAACATCGCCCAACTAAAACAGGTGAGTAGATCTACCTGTGGTTAATTAAAGCAAACATGCTGACAAGTCACAACATTCAAATGTGAAAACTACTTACTGAGATTCGCATATTTTCAACAAAACGACCACCAAGGTTTCGCCGAATTTAAACCCCGGGCAGCCGCATGGAGATTTAAATTGGTAGGCTAACTAGCAAATGTAACGGTCGTCGGCCGGAATTACAATTACGACGTTAGCCTAGTCCCCGAACGCTTCATGAAAGCGTAACTGGAGTACTATAGCCTACTTTAATTTAATTTAAATTACCATAAGCAAAGAGTTTGGAGGTTTGAATCAACTTAAACTGAGATTCAAGCACACCGCCATGAATGAATCTAACAAGGTGTATGTACTCATTAATCATCATCAGCTAACTAAAAAAAACTAAAAATGTTCTAGTCAACGGGGAAATCATCACCCCATTGCTCAAAGTGTTGCCTACATTCGTTTGAAAGGGTCAAACACAGAAAAGGGTGGGGAACGTAGCTTTGAAGGATCCTGCCTCATCTACCTGTTGTATTGGGACATAACTACTGTCATTAATTTGTGTAATTTTCCTACACACAGTGCACAGGATGCAATTGTGGAACAGGGATACAGCTGATCCTTCTGGAGGATACCTGAGTAACATCACTCAGTATACTCCAGAAGATTACTGTGTTTTCTGTCACCACAATATCAGTTGCATTTGAATGGAAAACTTGCATGTCCCAATAGACCCTGCTATACTACACCCAACAGTACTGTACTTCCAAAATCTATCCTTTTCATGGTGGGATTGAGGAGTCTGTCCTTTAACAGGTTATGGGAACCACCTGCAGCTCACATTGCAGGAATGCACAATTGCACATGGGTGTAACGTGTGAACTCATAATGGCATACCATGTTCCAAGTGTGTACAATCTGTAATCCTTATGGGGCTCCTCCCAAGGATATGTATTGTATTTGACATCTGTTGTATACATGGCTTAAGTGTTCTATTTTTTATTGTTATGGATGAATATATAATAATAATAATAATAATGTATTGCATCCTTTTATCACGATCACCTGGAAATAATCACAAAGGTCTTATGCAGTCAGATCATAAAAGCTTAGATATTTACATGAATACACAAAAATCATACAAATCTACGCCTAAAAACAAACAGTAACGTGTCTGAAGCCAAGCGCACTGTTGTTTTGACACCCGTGCTCACCTTGCCTTATGTACCATTGTCAATGTTTTCACAGCCTGCCCAGGTGCCTGAGGACAGCATTAGACCGTTGAATCCCACACAGCCAGGTAAGCTGTCAGTTGGTATTGGTTTAATGTTTATTTTTGTATGTGTTATGAATACCATATTAAATACTGGAAACTGTAATGTTATGAATACTGTGTGCATCACTGTTAGTGCAAACTTATATTTTCTCTTTGATTCATTAACTCTCTCTCAACTGCATTTATCTAATATTGTCTCTCTTATGTTTATTTTTCCCTTGCTATGCTTATTTCTTTTTTTCCCAGTGGTTCCCCGGCCAGGCCGCCATAGAAGGCCCATGACGGCTCCAAAGACTCCGAAAGTGAAGGCGTCTAAGAAGAAAAGAATAATTCTGACTGTCCTGGTAGTTGTTGTTTTACTGGGCATACTAGTCACTGCAGCATACTTTAGTGAGTCACACATCATGGACATGATTTCTTACTCTAACACAGAAAATTCACTGGATAACATACCGAATAGACAATTCCTTTATTTATTTTCACCAGCCATCACTACTTCGATTCCATAGAAAGATTTGTTGTAAAGGTGTACATTTGTTGACGGGATTCAGCTGTTTTCATTGTATTTTAAATCATCCAAGCAAAATGATGTCTAACCTGTGCTACACCCTTCTTTTCCAATGTGCCTCTCCTTTTTCCTTTAGTTAAGCAGCTGATTGAGAGCAAATATTTCTTCTGCAAGAGTTCCGTGAAGTTTATCCCGATAGACAAGGCCTGTGACGGGAATAATGACTGTTCTGGAGGAGAGGATGAATTGACATGTCTGTCAAGCTTTAAGGTCAACACTACCTTTCCAGGTAAAACAAGCACCTTGCTCCCTTTTTCAACACAGACAGACACAAAAACAAAGCTTAGAAAATATGTCTCTTCTTTTCTTACTTTGTGGGCTATTCCTCCCTCCAGTGCGGCTCATGACAGCGCAGCAGGTCCTGCAGGTCTACAGTCCTGGCCCAGGTTGGCGGAGTGTGTGTAGCGACGACTGGGCCGAGCAACACACACAGACAGCATGTAAACAACTGGGATACACATAGTGAGTTTACACATGAATATACACTATATATACTGTATATATGATTTATACCAATGCGGAGGGTTTGTTGCAGACTATGTTATTTGACCTGAAATCCAGTCTTACATCGTCCCCCTTTTGTCTTTACAGTAAACCTAAAAGCACAAGTGTCAAAGTGGACACCTTGTTGTTTCCTCTGAAAACAACTGGACCATTCACAGCTATCAGGCCCGGGACTACAAAAACACCCATTCATCAGGCTACTATAGACCGGTGAGAAGGACATCTGTCATTAAACAGGAATTTCATTTTCATTTAATCGTTTATTTGAACCGGGACAGTGCACATTGATGAACACTTTAAAAGAAAATAATGCTTACAAGTGTAAATGAGCCGGATTTTAGCTTTGAGCTAATTTCCATCCGTAGTCCCGTCACATCACATACAACATAAGAACATAACATTTATATACATAGCAAAAAAAATACATGATATGCAGGAAGAGCATGAGCAGCATACAAGCATTTACCACAAGGCAGTACAATGTAGCAGCTAAAAAGTGCAGGAGGAGATAAAAGAGCTACATAAAGTGGAAGAGAAGATACCCCTGTGTTAAAGTTCATTTAGCGGTGATTACACGTCTGTTTGTTTCTCAACCATTCTTTGAGTTGTCCTTTAAAACTATTGAGAGTGGGACAATCCCGTATTTCAGTTGGGAGGCTATTCGACAATTGTTTGCTAATAATGTTTCTTTAAAACATTATTAGAACCTGTAGGTAACGTTAGCCAAAGTTGTGAGAACGTTCCCCGCTAGCTGGGAAGACAAATAGGCCTATAGCTACCTATCACATATATATATAAAATTAAATAAAATAACAATACAAAAAACCTAATAATAATTTTAATTAAAGCAGCGAACAATGATGAGCGGATCTTCGACGATCCACACAGGTCCGCATGTCGACGTTGCGCAGATGTTTTCCGGACTCGGCCGTTAGCAAACGTGGGAAGTTTCAGGCCGATCGGACAATGTATAAAGGAGTTACAGCAGTAACATAAACATCATGTTTGATGGCGAGTGATCTGTCGCCATGGCAATGGCATTTGATGATACCCCATAATAGGCTTAGATGTCCTGAGGGCTGCATCGTTATCAAACATGTAACGTTTTGGGCCGTTTGGAGCATGTTCACTGCAGTTATGAGAACACCATGTTTCATGGCGAGCATTGTGTTGCTATGGCAACAGCATTTGACGAAATCTCAAAAATTAAACGTATATGTCTTAAGGGCTGGACTGTTAGCACAAATGTGAAGTTTTACAAGTTTATGACCATTTTCATAGCAATATCGTGTTTAACGGCCAGGGATGTGTTGTCATGGCAACGGCTTTTGAGGCACATAGAGATGTTCAGGTCCAGACCATTAACCATCATCTGAAGTCTGGTGCCGTTTGGACGATTTTCCTTTGAATTGCGACAATATCGTGTTTTATGGCAAGGGATGTGTTTCCATGGTAACACCGCATGATAATAATAATAATAATAATAATAATAATAATAATAATAATAATAATACATTACATTTATAAAGCGCTTTTCCTGGTGCTCAAAGCGCTTACCTATGGAAGCCCATTTCCGCCAATTGAAAAAAATAAAATCCCAATGTAAAGTCATAATTATGAGATAAAAAAGTCGAAATTATGAGATAAAAATTCCTAATAATGAGATAAAAAATCATAATTATGAGATAAAAAGTCATAATAATGAGATAAAAAGTCGAAATAATGAGATAAAAAGTCATAATTATGAGATAAAAAGTCGAAATTATGAGATAAAAAGTCATAATAATGAGATAAAAAGTCATAATTATGAGATAAAAAGTCATAATAATGAGATAAGAAAGTCGAAATAATGAGATAAAAAGTCATAATTATGAGATAAAAAGTCATAATTGTGAGATAAGAAGTGCGCATGCGCTGCAGTGGCACTGTCTTCAAATTGAAGACAGTGCCACTGCAGCGCATGCGCACTTCTTATCTCACAATTATGACTTTTTATCTCATAATTATGACTTTTTATCTCATTATTTCGACTTTCNTCATGCTTCAAATAAGTGGGGGTACGGCGTACCCCCGCGTACAACGCCCACTACACCACTGATAGGCATATATATTATAGTTTAAAACAGGTCAAGTCAAAGCTTTGAACTGCATTGTTGTAGTTTAGCTGCAATATAGGCTATATGTAACATCTAACATTTACAAAAGTCACCTGTAATAGTTAACTTATTTNGTCCGTCGACCGAATTTAGCTAGGATAGCTTGGTTCCGTCTGTGGACAGTTAAGCTGCGCGGCTGCCGATAAAGAGATGTGCTCTGAAGCGAGAAGAGGTTTTTGAATGATGCATGCGACGTAGCGCAAGCTACTTATAGGGGGTGGATTCCCTGACGCTGACGTCAAGATCACCTGCCAATCAGGATTGGCGTATGTGAGATTGATGCTTCTGTTTGCTCCGCGATGAGGCGCATCCCATAGTGAGACATAGAACGGAGTGTTATGAATGAGAACAATTCCTTTTTGTCTGTTTCTGTTCCACTCCCTCTTAGTCTTTCTTCATGTGAGTCACACTATTTGTCTGTTTCTTCTCCTCTATGTATTTCAATTCAACAATTCAACGTCCTCTTCCAGCTTTCATGTTCTATCACATTTGTCCTATTTTCTGATGGATTTTCTTCATTTTTCTATCTACTGCATTGCCCACATGCTGTGCATTTTGCATTGCATAGATGAAGCGAGAATCCAGCCTATACATGTTGCAAGAAAGAGTGACGATCCTCTGGTGCAGGGAGCTTCTCTGCATAGAAATAGTCACTATGAGCCTTCACAAATGACTCACTCGTGAAGTATGCACACCATGATTGATGTACGCACTGAAGACTGAACTGCAAAGATTATCTTAATTTATGACACGGAGAGATGTATTTTCTGGAAGTCACTACGAATGCACATACTGAGCTTTACATTACCAAGGAAGAAGAGATGGGGCTGTGTAGGGTAGTAGTGTCAGATTACACTACATGATGTGTTGTGTTTAAAATGAGATCTCTGTTGTCAAGTTTGAAATGCTTTCAATGGTTATGGTTTCCAAGTTGTCGTCTTGTCTGACATTTCATTATTATATGAAAAGGTTGCGGGCATACTACATTAGAATGTTAGACAATTACAACCTCAGTCTGTAGATTAATACAAACTGTAAAGCATAAGGGATTTATGTCACAAAAAGCAGTTTTTAGGGCATTCACTCCTGAATTAAACAAGGTTTTTTGTGATCAAATCTAGTATACTGTCACAGCAGTGAAAAAGCCTTAAATGTTTGATAAATTAGTTTGTTTGTGTCCTTCAATATCCTCATGTTATTAATCAAATTCATTGTTATGCATTGGGAAGGTAATTTGCATAGAATTGATGGTTTACCTACTTACTTTAGAAAACAATTACCACCCTCAAAGTAAAACACTTTATAGTAAATAGTAGCTCAATTATTTCAGTTGTTCCATTGAAAAGTGATGAAATGCTGTTTATTTTTCTTTTAAATGATTCACTTGTTTACAGCAGCAAAGCTTCATATGTATATTCAAATGTTCACATTCATACATTTGACGCTTCAGAATGAAGTGGCAAGAGGGCACTTGCTCTGTAATGAAAGGTAAGATAAAAGCCATCTTTCAAAAAGAGACTGATCCTTGCCTTACATTCACACAATACAGACATTCATATGCACAGGCATGGAGCACCATCGGTTGGATTCAAAGAAATACATTACCAGAGGCCGAGGTGGGGGGATGCCATTAGTCATGACTCATGAGTCATGAGCCATCAGAGCATACATTTTTCCTACCCTTTAAAAAGTACACCAAAACGCTTTGACAGCTTGGTGGATGAAAGACAACAATTTAGTGCAGACCTGCCGTAACTGCTGATGTCCCTGTGTAGGAGGTGCAGAATTACAATGAGTAAGATAAAACACCTCACATTTGTTTTGCCTGGGAGGAGAACAAACATCTGCTAAATGCATCACTCTGGTCCCAGAATAAGCAGAGCCAATTGTAAGAAACAGTGGTGGCCAAAAAACAAGTAACAGTGGTAATTGGAAAGAAGAAGAACAAAAAAGGATGTGGGGGGGCAGGGGGGGTTCACTTTTTTTGATGAACTTTAATACTGGGAGGCTTGCCTCTTGTATTTGTTTTAAATGTTTGTGCTTTATCTAAACACATACATGTGGCAAATTTAGATAAGAAATTGAAACGAGTGGAGAACATGATAATCAAACTGTAGTTACACTATCCCCTTAATATTAAACTTTAAATTGAAGGCGGTCTGTACATGCCATCTTGTCCTTGCTATCAAAATGTGTGGGCACTGCTTGATGATTACTGATTTCCCTATTACACCTCACAGCAAGTGACCAACATTCTTTACAAAAGCGCAGCCACCTCACACACTGAGTTAATCCTTCAAGGAAACATTTTCTATTGGAAGCTAGAAACCTCTCACCATTATACACCCACTTTCCGAATTCCGAAAGAGGGTTAAAGCCATGCTGTGTGTCACCAGGTGGCTGTTGCAGCCATTTGAAATGTTCCAGTCATAGCCATGCGACTCATCTCTTACACCTTATGCCTCTCACTTCAGAATAGCAGAAGAATCCTCAATAGGTGATGAAAAACACTCTTTGCATGGTTTCTTTTATACTAATACTAATTTCAACAAGGGTAGGATAGCTTGTTATGCTACTGACTCCAGTAAAAGCAAAGCAACAGGCCACTTTCTACATGATAGATGTACCCATTTGGTATATTCTCTTATGAGTGGATACCAGTCATCCAAGCAAAACGCCTATTCATCAACCTAGAGCCAAAAGGACCAGAGGGCAAAACACATACTGTACACGTACGCTTACAGATACACATACACATACACATACACTTACACATACACATACAGATATACCCTTACATACACATACCCACACACAGTCATATGCACCTGTATTTACACATGTTTTTTTTCTAGTTCAGCATTTTCACCCTTTCCATGAAGCGTGTAACCCCCTTTTCTGTCTTGATCATGCATTTTAATCACATGCCCTTTGATGTTAAACACTCACAGTCAAAGCGCACATGTAACAGCATGCTTAGTTTATATGTGCTGCCAAACGATTGTTGTTTGGATATTATTTAAATAGGTCACTACTAATGAAGAAAAGAGACAG